CGCCGAGTTCTGGGAAGTTGTGGCTGTCGAGGATGGGGGTCTGTGGGCACCTGTTCCTGCCCTGGAAGTGCCTCGTGGTCGTATCTCTCAGGCTGCTGTTCCTTGTACCCACAGGAGTGCCGGTGCGAAGCGGAGATGCCACCTTCCCCAAAGCGATGGACAACGTGACGGTCCGGCAGGGGGAGAGCGCCACCCTCAGGTAGGGAGCTGCCATTGTACAAAGTGATGGTGGTTCGTCCGGGCTGAGGGTGAGGGGCAGGGGGGACAGGCGTGTTCGCTCAAGCGCGCCGGGGCTGCTAGACAGGTCGCTGGCTGCACAATTCATGGAGGAGCTGGGTGCTCTTCTCGGAAATGTGGCAGTGGTAGGGAAACGCTCGGAGGTCTGGGGGTGAGCCCCTTCCACCCAGCTGGCCACCCTGGCTCGGGAATGGTGAGGGTGACCGGGACTGGGCCAGGGAGTTGTTGAAATTGAGGGCAGTGGTTCTGGAGCTGCCAGTCCCCGCGCCTCCTGGCAGGGCAGTGGTGCCTGGGTACCTGGCTGAGGCTCAGCGTGAGCCGTCTCCTCTGAAGTTAATGAGCCCCACAGGAGGGGTCTGGCTTGGTGTGAATGCCTGCACTCTGCCCAGGCCAGGGGGAGATGCCAGCCTGGACTGCTGGACCCTGGCAGAGTCTCAGCTTTGTCCTGGGCCTGAATGCCAGCGCTTTCCAGGGGTGCCTGCGTGCCACAAGCTGGTGGGCAGACAGAAATGCTTTCGTCGGTGGGAGCGTGGCTTTCGGAGGCCGAAGTCATGGAGTGTGATTTGTCCGTGGAGAATGCCGTCTATTCGGGTAGACTGTGCTCTGTACGTGCTGTCCACCAAAGCAGTGTGTAAAATTCATCACAGAACAGGAACTAGGCTTAGTGTGGTGTTGGGTCCTGATTGGCTTCTGGGGTGAAGGCTAATAGGGACGTGGAGGGGGGGGGGAGGAGGAAAGGATTCCTGGCTCTGCTTTATGTAAAGTAGGACAACTCTGGCTCCCCAATTACGTTCCTTACAGAAGCACTAATTCCATTTCCAGGACTGACAGACCACACCGGCTACACTAGGTCAACACACTTAATGACTGCAGTGGGAAATCTTCCCCTCTGGAATTTTTAAGAGAAGGCAGGGGGTGGAAGTTAAAAAGCTTCGTGGGATAACTTCCTTGCCTCTCTTTGACTTGTTATGCCCTCATTCATAGTTTCCCAAACTGGGCAACCAAACCAACCAGAAAGCAACGTGAAACAATTCTCATCCTTTGCACCTGAAGATACTTGGAAAGATACCTTCATGCTGGTAGTAGACATACTACCTTGCCCCTGATTACTGTTTTTCATATATCCGATGTGTTTGTAGATTACATGCTTAGGATAATACCAGTGGAGGTAGAAATGTTGAGGAGGGTCCTGGTAATTATCAGGACTTGGAAATGTGTCATATATAGAACCATGTAAGGTAGAAATATCCCCAGATCCTTTGTCTTTGGGGAGCTAATCCTCATGGGCCCACCAAACTCCTAGTCACTCATTCACTCATGAGGCTCTTCCACTGAGCTCTTTAGGGGCTGCTTGGTCCAAAGTAAGAGATCTAGCTGCACCCTCTCTGAAATGGATGTGTATCTGCTTCATGAATGGATTTCATGGAAGTTGAAAAAATACAATGATTTCAGACAACTTAAATAGAAGAACAAAAATAACATAGTCAAGAAAATTTAATGTCACCTAGATGGCTTCTTTGTCCCTAACCTAACCCAACCCTTGGTTGTAAGGATTAGCTCTCCAAGTACAAAATAGAGACATTCGCATTTGAGGAACACTTTAGGTACAGATAGGAACTTTTTCCCCCAAGGATAAGGTGGAAGGGGGTCATTAGTTCCATAGAAATTTGATGATAAGTAAATAGCCATTTGGCCTTGAAGATGACTGTCACATTATGGGAAACAGAAGGAGGAGTAAAGTGGCCTCCATCTAGTCTCCAGAAGGTAGCCTTCAAGGCTCAGGAGAATCAGGACTTTCCAGAGAGTGGCTGCATCTAATAGCTCCTAGACCATGGAACAGGCCTGGTGTGGGGGTTGGGGCAGCTTTCCTTTATAATCATATTATTATGTGCAGGCTGACTTCTTTTTCTTCGTCTTTCTTTATATGCTTCTGTGTCTCTTGCAAGCACTAATGTTTGTTTGTACTTTTATTTATGCTGTCTATAAGTTGGGCTTATCTGAGTGTAGAGAGAGGAATGAAGATATGGTGGGGTTTCCTCTTTAGACCCTTAAATAAGTCCCAAACCAGCTATGCACAAAAAGACACCTTTTCCCAACATCCCCTGCCATTGTATGTCAGCCTCAGGGACTAGATATTGTCCTGATGTGCAGGAGGAAGACTTTCAGAGTGCACGGGCCTATACAGGGCAAGGATTAGGTGAGCTTGGGTATAAATGAGACAAGGCATTGGCCTTGGCCTTGATTTAGGACTGGAACTGGACGTCAGATGTACCAGGCAGTCTGCATGTAGGACAGTCAATGCCTGCCATGGCTCTCCTAATTCTTAGACTGTAAGGCATTAGAACAAGGACTGACTGCCTTGAAGGGGGCTTCTGTGAGGTGGGAGCCCTGATGTTTCCATGTAGGCGCTGCATTTTTTCATTCCATGTGCGGAGAGGCAAGTGGGGATTTCAGAACGTATTTTGTTTGCATAAAAATTGCTAAATTTGCACATAACCTAATTCTAGGTTGCAAAATTTAGTCCAGGATTCTGGGTTATTTATTTTTTTTATCATGTATGAAGAAGATGTAAGTTCCTGCCTTTTTTGTTTCCTTTTCTTTCTCTTTTTTTTTTTTTGCCTAATTGTATGACTAAGCTGCAAGGAACTGTAACGTGCAGATCTGAGCCCTTCTGCTCTGCCCTGGAAGGACGCCTTATCCACCCTGCGGTGGGACTGCAGTTCCCTTCATAACCAGCAGAGGACTTTTTTGCTATAATTTTATTTTATTCTGCTTTGTTCTTACCAGTATCATTTTTGGAATATCGTTTCCAGTCCCCAAAGAATAAATGCTCCAGTAGCAGATTCTAAACTGAGGAAACTTTAAAAATATTTTACTTTGTCCAATTAGTTCTAATGATCTTTGCAGAGGTATTGGCAAACCTCTCTCCTTATATGGTATTAACAGTGTGAAAAGAACTGAAAACAGTGTGCAATTGCCCACTCTTTTTGCCCTCCTGATATTAGGGATGCATATTTTTTAAAAGGGAAGGTTATGAATAACAGAATCTGCAAAAATAACCCCATCAAAGTTTACTGAGATCTCTTTATGTGTTAGGGTGTATGAAAGTATTTTATGATACATAACCATCACCCAAACTGGATAACTCTATTATGATACTGCTGTTATTAGCACAAACAGGTAAACCAAGGCAGGAAGAGTTAACATCACTTAATTTAGGTGGCAGAGCTAGGAAGTTTTGAAACTAGATTAGGAGGCACTAGTAATAATAATGTTAATAAGATGAGTAGTATCAGTTATTGGTCAGTTATGTATGGTTTCATGTACATGGTGACATTTAATCATCACAATTCTCTGAAGTAGAATTCATGATCCCCCATTTTCAGATGAGTAAGCTGAGGCCCAAAGAGGAAAATTTAAATAAAATCACAAAAGTGGCCAGTAGCAGGAGTACTGGCTTGTGACTTTGCTTTGTATATCAAGTTTCTTTTGAATGCCTCACGACCTATCTAGTTCTGTTAATTCCCTCTTTCCCTGCTTTCTCAGTGATGCTTCATATCATCTTACTCATTTTGACTAAAGTCCTGTTCCACGGTGTTTTTGTAACTCTGTCTTTCTGGGGTGGGCCGAGAGGAGACCTCAGGAAACAGAGGTCAGGCGCTATTGTGCCGTGAGCCCTGGTTAGAGCAGATGTCACTGAACGGAGGAAGAAAACCTGAACAAAACTTCCCCCACTGTGTTAACTGTAATTCCTCATTATGTCATTGCATGTCACAATTCAGTAGTACTGGTGCTGCACAAACAATTTACGGAGGGGTTCTTTCAGGAAGGGCCCTGAGCCATGGTGTGGCGTGGACTAGCTCTAGGGAGGTGATGGGGACAGAGAGGCTGGACAGAGCACTGCACTTCAAGTCAGTGCCTCTGGTTCCTGCCTGCTCCCAGCGGGGTGCCTCTTTGTCTAAGAGGTTGCCCACGGCGCAACTTCCTCAAAGCCTGAGGAGCCCATGCGTGGGTGTCCTTCAGTCGGAGACCTTCGCTCTGAGCATCTGTGTGTCACTCAGTAATTTTGCTGAATGTTTCATGTCTCAGAGAGTCCCCAGATGAAATAGCCTCTAAGAAAGTGAATTATTTCCTGGGTAAGTGAGTGTTGGGGGCTGAACTGTACCTTCTGTCATATGTCTAGACTGTAGGCTCTGGGAATAAACGATGTTGTTTTTCTGGGATGAGATAAAAATAAAAAGTCTGAGCTGTATACAAAATTAAGGTTGAGTTTTATATGGCAAAGCATGAATAACAGAATAATGTGGTTTTTATACTTGAGTGGACCCAAAATCTCCTTCCAAATTTAACAACTGGTAGCACTTAGCACATGTTACCTAAAGTACTTAACATTTCATTTTCTAAGGAGACTGGATTTCTATTAGTCCTGCAGCTCTTGTAAGCTTGTCCCCCACCCCCCAGTACTAGGGATCAAATCTAGAGGCATTTTTCTACCAAGGGACAGAGTCTCCCTAAATTGCCCACGTTGGCCCTAAATTGGCCATCCACCTGCCTCAGCCTTCTGAGTAGCTTACAAGTATATACCACTGTGTCTGACCTTTTGAAGGCAGAACTATGCCTTTCTTGTGTTTGAATTCTGGTACTAAGTACATCACTTGGCTGTGTGTCAGTGAAGTCTGAGTGTCTGTCCTCCTACCCTTTATTATTTATTTTTTTTTCATCTGCTGTAGACACTGTAGCTCTCTTTCTGTTTAATGAACATAAAGACTTATTGTGGCTACAAAGCCTTTCCTCTCATCACTCCCACTGTTGGGAATACCCTTATCCCAGATTGCACCATCCACAGATTGTGCTGTAGACAGCTGTTTCTTATTTTGGCCTGATCTCAAGTGGCAACCTCCCATAGAGACCTTTTCTGACTCTGCAATCAAAGGCATCCCTGGCCATTTCCACCACTCTTTC